TATTTTATTATCAAATGCTGATTCCCAACAATACATTTTTACAATACGCATTGATTTAATTATTTCAGACATAGTTTTAACACGTTCATCAGTTACTTGTAAAATTCTTGTTCTAAAAATTCGATCAATAAACTAGATTGTATTTCAAATGAAAAAAGGTAATGACAAACCGAAGAAAACCAAATAAACGGCCAAATAAAACTTGTGTAATTAAAAGGAATATTGTATAGCCAATAGCAATAAACGCAATATATTTTACATATTGCCAAAAGTAAATAACCGTAAAAATAGCTTGTGATGGAGCCATCTAAATAAATAAAATATAGTTGTACTTAACCCTTTCAGGACCGGCTTATTTCGAGAAAAAATTAAACTTACAAATTGAGAACACATTCAAACCGTCAAACTCTGTTGCTAATTCTAATTTCGTCTATTTCCATTTAATTGAATGTCCTTTTTCTTGAAGTCGCCTTATGTAGAATGAAACTGATGAAGTACGAACTGTGAACTCTTAAGTGACTGTAACGAGAACACAGTGCAGGTATATATATCAGCAAGAGAAGAACCTATGACTTTACACGTCATAAAATGAACATTTACTTTGAAGAGACACGAAAAAAATTGAAGTCTCATGCGTCACATCACCGGAAATTTCAATGACATTTTAAAACGTCACCAGTCCCGAAAAAATTAATCTTATATAACTAATTTTTTTATTACCCATGTATAATGAATAAAGTAGAAAAGCATTTCAACTTGACTTGCATCATTGGATACTAAATTTGTTATTTGACCAGAACCAATAGTATTCGTTGAATGACTTGATAATCGAAGAATCTTCAAACAATATTTTTTTAGTAACAAAATTAATGTATTTTATATTTTATTATATTTACTTTACGATATACTAAACCAGTATATGCTATACGCATTTGTGCACCATATATAGTCATTCTATAAAAATACTACAAATAAATCTGTTATCTATTTTAGTTTATATAGAATTATTATTACTTGATGATAAATAATAGAAGCTATCAATGCAGTAAGACTAGTTCCAATAGCTAAAAGCCACGCATGAGATGTTGGCATAGTAGAACATGATTCAAAAAAACCCATGAGAAATGTTAATAATATAGGTTGAGAAAATGTAAGTATAGCCTATTAATAAGTAAAAGATAAATGAATTGATTTTTTATAGTAATGATTTATTTACAGTTGGAATAAGTAATAAACCTGTAAGAAATGGTTTCCAACCCATTGTTCGTATTGTTGCACGAATAAGACTTGGTTTACGTTTTGTTTGTTTCAATTCATCAAACCAATTTGCTTCGAGTTGTTCAGTTAATTTTGTTGATTCAAGATGTGAGAGAAGATCATAAAGATCAGTTAAATGCAGTGTACCTTGTTTATGACTTTTGTTCAATAAAATTGATATCCAACCATGAAAGAATCGAGACCATATATTTGCTTGATAATATGGATTTGGATTGGGCGGCGGCTTTGACGTCATCTAAAATTCAAAGTTTGTCATTTTTTTTCAATTCAAAAGATCATATCTTTAGTTTGAGTAAAAAAACAAAAATTAAAAATATAATCTATTTAAATAAATATTATATGAGATTCACTGCATTAGTCATAATCATTTCTTGTCATTACTGATTGTAAACTAGCTGAACGATTGAGACGTTGTTTTATATTATTTAATATAACTGGAGATTGCTGAGAATTTGATAATAAAGTTGTAGCTATTGTTTCATTATACATTCGAATACCAACTAATAAACAACACAATATAATTGGACCAATTAATGCACCTTCAATACCTCGATAATATGCTCCACCAGCAATAGCTAATGCCGTTAAATACTATAAGAAAAGAAATAGATATTTGTAAATTTCTTTATAAAGACAAGGTCTGTTCAACTATCACTAACAAAAGTTACATTTGATATTCTAAATCAAATATAAACCTATATGAACGGATATTTTGTTATTGCATATTCACTGAGTCAATATTTCTTTAAGAAATCGACGTCGAAAATTTATACAATAATAGTAAATGAATCATTTTTATGTTAAACTATTCTTTCTATAATACTGACAAGGTTGCACTTTTTGAAGTATGTCTAGTGTATAAGTGTGTGGTAAAAAATCAAATGAATCGACATTATATTTGTATATCAGGTTAGCCTTACAATATTAATCATAATTATGAAATAAAATGTTATTTCTTCTTTCTCTTTGATAAAAAAAAACTTCAATTTAACCTTGGTATCTAACTATATGTATTAGTTCACTTTTAGAATCAAATTTATCAGACCAACAAATGTTATATCACGATATTTACGGATGCTATTAAAACTATATTGAAGCATTTGTGTACATATCGGTTTCGAAAATTAATTTACCTGATGTCCACCACCTTTAACTTCACTATATATAGCTGTATCAACAATATAAACCGGTACAATTTGAGCAAGCAATAATATCAATGCACTCAATGGACGTTGTTGTACAAGCCATAAATCAAGACAACCTGGTAATGCTGCCCAATAGGATTTCAAAGTAACAGCACATATAGATGCAATCATTGCCGGTAAGAAAACAAGATTTGAACATAATAATGTATGTATAATATATGTATAAAGACCATAAAAAGTAGCAATTTTTAATGATGCAATAAATACACTTGTTACTGCATCATTAACAGCTTGACCTAAACCTGAACCACCTATGGCTAATATATTATTAAGCCATACTGTTGGTCGATATATTGGTTGAGTTGAATTGGATAGAAGATAAAAAAGTAAAGTGATGAAAACAATAAATGAGATAAGAAAATTAAATAATGCAAAACCACCGGTAAATAATAATGAAATAATAGTTGAAATTACAGTTAATAAAAGAGTAGCATTGGACCAAATTGAATCAAGAATAGTACGTAATAAATCAATATTATCAGATATAAGATGATAAAGATCATTTAGATGATATTGAAAATTTGTTTGTATATATATCAAAAAGTTTGGTGAAAGAAAACTTTGACTTGATGATATATTTAATATTCTACTACGATTTTTATGTGATATAAATAATGTTGAAGTATTTGTTACATATGTATAAAGGCGATCCCATAGTTGCAATACCTGTTCTTCAAGATTTTTATTTGATAAACTACCGGGACCAAATGTATTCATCTATTAATATGAAAAATATTATTTTTCTTCTTGTTAAAAAAACACTTACAGGCATATAGTGTGATTCATCTGATGTAACACTTAATGGAAGACAACATTGAGGCTCAACACGAGGTGGCTGGACTTTTGCAACCTATCGATATTAAAAGACATACAAAATATAATACTATCTATAGTTTTTTTCGAACTTGTGTGGTAATCCAACGTCTTCCAGAAGTATAGAATTTATTAACAGCTGTATCCATTAAATGACTCATATGTTCTTTATCTGGTAGTATATGTTGTAGTACAATTGTTTCATTTATAAAACTACTTGTTAATTTAATCATATGTATGCTTTCATGATGAATCTAAATTTGAAATAAAATACAAACTTTATTAGAAAAAATAAAACGAATAAAAAAAACCTGTATAAGAAGTAGTATAGTTCCAAAAGCAATAAGAATAAATAATGCTATAATAATACATGCACTAGCAAGATAATCAATTGATTCTTGTAAAATATAATTCATTTTTTTATCACCTTTTATAAAAAACCGAATAAAACTATGATACGGTAATGGTGTTAAAACATTACGTCTAATTAAATAAATAAAAAGAAAATATTTATTTAAAACAACAAAACAAAATTGAATTTATTTTTATACCGAATTTTCCAGAAATTACTAAACCGTTGTATAATATGTTGAACATGTGTTTGTTGACTCAAATAAGTATATGTATACAGTAGAAAATATTTAATAATTTTATAGATAATAACAAAAATTGAAATTGGTATAAGATACCAATAGAATTGATAAATTTTAATAGCTACAAATGACCATATTACAAATGAAAAGTATGGTGCTGATGAAGAAGAAGATGATGATGATGTATTATTAGATAATGTACTTTTAATATGAAAATAATTTCTAATACGTTCAAATCTATTGATCGTATGAATGAGTATTGGTTCTTGAGATTGATTCACTTGAGAACGATGAGATCCTACAAAATAACAACTGTTACGTAGTTTGTCTGTTTAATTAAGCATATATATTTTTTAAGGAAGTAGATCTTACAGCAAAAAGCAATGTTATTAGCTTTATAATATAATTCATCGAGATTACTGTTACTTTTAACTTTTTTTAAATTAAAGCTAATGATGGTAGAGAAAAAACATGTTTGTTTATGATCACAAGCTACATTATCAGATTGCTATAAAATAAGATATATTTCCTCATCTTTTAAAAGTCAACAATCATGATCTCTTATACCCTGTTTATGAAAATGTATATCATTATGAACTTTTCTAAGATAACTGATCATTCTTTTTTTCAAGAAAATTATTTATCAATAGATACACTTACGAGTCATATTCTGGTCAACAATATAACCGATGAATATTAAAATGATTGTAAGAGTAACTACTATTAATCGATAATGAGACGGAAAGATTTGTGAAAGATAAATAAATAGAATAAACCAGGTAGGTATTGAAAATATCTTGAGAATAGATTTTATTACTGATGAACTATTATAAACGGTTAAAACAGCTAAGAAATAGATTATAACAAATAATATCACCCATAAGGAATCAAAAATATGAATATGTCTTTCAAATAGAATATAATAATCATATCCTATTGTCGTTATACAACGATAAACAACACCGGATTGAAGAAATTCAATAGAAGGTAGAAAAATAATAATTAATATTAATTGTTTCCATTTATCTATACATAATGGACCAATTGATTCAATAGTTTTATCAAGTATTTGAAAAGGTAAAATAATAACTAAACCATAGAATAATAAATGTGAATTTGTTTCTAATTCTTGTAAATGATATCGAGCTATTGAAGTAAAATGATTTTTAAATGGAAATAGAAAAGCACCAGTAAGTATAGCCCATAGAATACTCTGTATAAATGGTTCTAATATGCAATAAACAAGTACAGCACATATGCCACATACTATTACAAATAGAATAGCTGTCGAATGAATAAATGCTTTACGAAAGACTTGTTGATCACGATTAGGTGAAAGTTGTAATATTGATAAAACGTGAGTATCTAAACAAATATATTTAAGTAAAAAATTAACAATTTTTATCTAAAGTATTTTACCATGAATGAAACTAATATTTGATCTATCATCACGTAGTTCACAAGTAGTCATGAATGCATTGATATGATAACAAGTGAAAGAATGTTTTATATTTAAGATTGATTTTATTCAAGTGCCAGATATATTTTTTTTTCTTTACAATTATACAAATAATGGGATATTACAATTTGACAGACTCATAAACGAGTACGTCTATTATGACGACAGATGACGCTCAACTTCAGAATATCTAAGATATATTATTAATAAAGTCTGTTCTTATAGATTTTTCTTGAAAATTTTTTTAAAGATGCACGTGTTTTGTCTGACTAAGGAAGCACAAAATCCATCTAAAACAAACTATATATATTTATCTTGTAGATAAAATAGATTTAAGTTATATTTTCAATGATAAGATAATTTACAAGAGAGAAAAATAATATATATGTCAATTTAGTATTATAGTTTGTTAACACCCGTTATATAATAAATTGAAGCGCTGTATTCGATTATTATTCTTGTCAACAACATAAAGATTATGATGAGAATCGAATTTCAATTGAACAGGATTGTTAAGTTCTTTATTACTAACACCGGCAGTACCAGTACCTACAAGAAATAAAAAGTTTTTGTTATTACTTTATTCAGATATAGTAATTTTATCTATTTTACCTGCAATTATACGTCCTTGTTGAGAACCAACTAACCATTGAACTATTCGATTATTTCCAGTATCAGCAACATATACATTACCTGCTGAATCAATAGCTACACCAGAAGGTAAATTAAGTTGAGATAGATTTTGTCCACTGCCTATTCCACCAGCAACTGTAATACCTACTGTCGATTGAAAATTAAATTTTTGTACCCGATGATTATGAGAATCTGCTACATAAATTAAACCATGCATTTCATCTATAGTAATACCCAATGGATGATCGAGACTGATATTATTCGAATTAGCTTGGCCAGTACCAGCTATTAACGATAATATATAATTTGTTAAATTCAATTGTAATATACGATTATTTTTATTATCAGACAAATAAAGTAATTGACGAACGTTATCTATAGACATATAATATACAGAATTAATTTGATTTGGGGCTGATCCAGCACCATAATGACCAACTACTGTAATACCATCAGGTGCACCTTCTTCAGTGCTTAATGGAACTTCTACAATACGATAATTGCCAAGATCCGAAACATACATTTGATCATTCAATACTAAAATTAAAAATAAGCTAAAACTCTTGAAATATCATTTCTCTCTTTAATTTGTTTAATTACGAAGAAAAACAAGTCTACTCACCGACAATAGCAGCCGGGTGTTTATATAGATTAGCCCATGAACCAACAGAACCTGTACCACTAACAATATATCCTACTGTTGCATTAACTGGCCAACAAGCTATTCTATTATTACCGAAATCAGCTATCAATAAATTACCATCAAAATCAACTAGTATATCATTTGGACTTTTTAGATTTGCTTTTGAAAGTGGATCTGTACTATTTGATGAACCAGCAACAGTGATACCTGCACTCGTCCAAGTAGCATTAGCTGCACAGAGTGGATCAAACGCAGCTATATAAAAAATATTAAAACATATTACATGTAATTGTAGTAGTTAGTAACGCTGTGAAAGAAAAGAAACTCTGTAATAATTTATTTTCATTTAAAAGATAATAAGGAAAATTATAAAGTTTCTTATGTAGATCTATTTAAGCTATTATTTTTTTAACATATGATCTTCTATATAAATTTAATAGTTTAAACTAAATGAATGAATATTCATTCACATAAAAAGAAATTAAAGTTAAAAAAACTAACATGGTGGTTTGATATTCCATTCAGGTGGTTTTATCAAAGGATTCTTCTCATCCATGCATGGATCGTCTAGGATTTAAAAAAAAGACGATTTTCAAAATGTATCATTTATTTTGTTACATACCTTTTGAAGGGTTTTTAAATACAATTGGTAACAGTATAACTGCTATAATACATATTAATATAGCTGAACCTCCCATACTAGCTAATCCAATATGAACATGATGTCTCATCCACCATCTTGATAAACGATTTGGTTGCTCTGTTACTGTCCCCGGAGCAGCTGTAGACTATAGAATTCTTATATATCAAAAAACAGAATATTGAATTTTTATGTTACTTACACGAATACTAGTTGGTGTTCGTTCAGTCATCATCATTGTTGAATTATTATTATCTAAGAATAAATATTATAATAAATTTTATAACTTCTGTACGTAAGATTGCAGATGAATCAGGCATTCTGATTCTTCTAGAATAAGGAATAACAGTTGGCAAATCATTCGAGCAAAAAAAAGAACTGCGTCATTATGAAGTTGTTGTTTTGCGTAGGCATATCATATTTATATTTGTTCAAGAAAAAATAATCTACATACAGGTCAGACTAGTCTCAATTGTACGATTCTGACGGATAGATTACTCAAATGAAATTAATCTAAATACAAAATTCTATGTTGTTGTTATTTGTTTCAGTTGAGTATACATGTTCAACATGACTTATATGAACGACTGAAATCTGTCAAAAAAAATTTCTTTTTTATTAGAAAGCTTCTATTTGCTTTGTTAGAAATTAGTAAGTCTACTTTTTTTCTTTTCTTCAAGTGTTCAGAAATCATCTGTGCATGTAATTCTCATATTTTTCTTCATTTATAAAACGGCATTTACTAATTGCATTCATAAATATCGTACTTTTAGTTATATTTCATTCAAGAGAAAAACGTCCGTATTCATTTATACACTTCAGATTTTTGTACAACTAAGCTTTTATATTTTAAACAACTATGATTTGGTTACGTGGTAGAACAGATCGAATTCAACCAGCGGTATGTTTTTTTATTAACTGTTATTAATTAGATCTTTTTTTGTTTCAATATTATAGTTAGATTCTATACGTCATACGTTTTCACAATATCAAAGACGTGCTGATACTCAAGAAACTATTCAATTACAGAAAACTAATTGGTATCAAAATTTTCTTCCATTGATTTTTATAGATAAATTTTTGTATTTTTAGGAAAATGGTAGGTAATTTAACATCGTTGATTATTTTTTCCATATTATTACTAGCAACGCTTATTGGCGTACCAACTGTTTTAACGAAAGTGAAAAGTAAATTTTTTTATATAATATATATATGTATCAGTAATATCATGCTAAATATTTTTTTTTATCTTTTATATAGAAGATAAGACTTGTTCTGAAATAACACACTGGACAACAATTTCAACTTCAAGTGGTAAGAACAAAATTTATTCGATATATATTGAATTTCGAGAGATATTCATGCGCTTTAACAAACTATCCTGCTTTTCTCCTCCTTAATATTAAGTTTATTTTTTCATTGAGATCATGAATTAAATAAGTGATACATACATATTATTTACTTTTATATAAATATACTAAAGATTTTTTTCAATTTGTAGTTCAACCAGCAACTATGATTCCATTCATTTCTCAAAGTATTATAAAACTTTGCTATAAATACTGACGATTTATAATCTTTGAATTTACAGATATGAATCCATTGTGTACAGCAACTGCATCATGGAATTCTACAGGCATCACTGTAGCTGGTTTACCAAACGGATCATCATCAACAGCTCTTAACGGTCTAAAATATCCACATGATATTTATGTATACGATGATGGAACGATATTAATAGCTGATTCTGGCAATAATCGCATTATTAGGTGGAATCATAATGCTACAGAAGGAATAAATATAGGAGGTACTGGTGCATATGGTTCATGGGTTAATTTACTTGCTGATCCGATAGCTCTTGCTGGTAAGTGTGATGAAAATATGAATATTTTGTTCTATATTCTTTAAATTTCATTTCTTTGTAGTTCAAGGTAATGCATTGTATGTGTCAGATGTAGAAAATTATCGCATACAGGTACGATATTATGATACAATCACTTTTAGTTTTCTATAAATAAAACAAAATTTGTTTTTTATTTTATATTTAGATGTTTCCTCTCAACAGTAATTTGAGTTCTCCAGATGCTACGACGATAATCGGACACTATGGTCAAGGATCTAGTCTTATGCAAATAAATCAAGTAACTAATTTATTAGTTCCTGTTTCAAACCCATCTTTATTATATATGGCTGATTCGAAAAATCATCGAATACTTTCTTGGAATTCACAATTCAATTATACATCCGTAGTTGCTGGACAAACGGGCATATCTGGATCTAATTCAACTCTACTAAATAATCCACTTGGTATCGCATTAGATGAGAGAACATTTTCTCTATACATTGCTGATACATTTAACAATCGAATACAAAAATATGATATGAATACGATCAGTGCAGGTACTACTGTAGCCGGTGGTGCGGGACAACTAAATAATCCAAGTGCTGTACAACTTGATCCATCCGGTACTAATATGTTCATTGCAGATACTCTTAATCATCGTATTTTACTATGGTTAAATGGTGCTATAAAAGGTCATACGATTGCTGGAAATGGTAATGCTGGTACCAGTGCTACTCAACTTAACAATCCATCTCAAATTCGACTTGATTCAAATTATAATTTATATGTTGTTGATACAAATAACAGTCGTATTCAACGCTTTGATCTTATTTCGAATGGATGCTAAACTATAAACGAAATGAACTAACTTGCTTCTTTTTTTTCTAGGCAGAAAAAATTAACGTCATGCAGAATATTGCACTTATTAATTCTTTTTTTTTCTTTATTTCAAAAATAAAATCTTAAATAAATCTTAATACTATGTAATTTTATCAGAAAATGAATATGAAGTTGTGAAAATATAGTTATTCTGCTATGCCATCAATTATATATATGTATGTATTTTTAGATACTGACTAATGAGTAAAATTCCGCGAATGATAACATATCATCAACGAAATTAAATTCAAGGTAACTTTCTGTTATTTATAAATAATGGAAGTACTTTGAACCGTGGTTTTATATATCAGGTATTTATTAAAAATGCATACCTTACCATCTGTAACTATATTATGACGTTACCAAAAATTTATCGACGCAATTGTTCATATTGTAAAGCAATATATCATAAACGTTTGACGTCATGTCATGTCTACGTGAGTCCATAATATTAATATTATTTATTATTTTTCGATTTATATGAACAGTCAAAGAAAGCCAAAGTTTTATTTACTGTTTTACAATATAAAGACAAAATTTATTATCAAATTCAATGTTATATTGTGTGTAGTGAGATAATTTCGGTCAACTACGGACTAGAAGAACAACAGCAAATAAGATGAAAAATATCATTATGTGTCTTTGTGTTAACAATAAAGAATAATATTTGATAGTACTTTTTTTTTGGAAAAGATATATTCACTTATTATTTGCTGTACACACACATTCAATATTTTTCTCTTATATAAAATTTCTTTTTCAACTTCTTATCATTTCCGGATTACGTAGGATGATTTTATTTATAAATGAAATGTTTTCTTTCGTATTGTATTATATTCTCTTGATTATTTTATAGATGAAGTAACGCAAAAGTCACTTTATTATGAAATAATTGTATATCTATATAATGATTTGGACTAAATGAACTCATTTTTTTACTAACGATAGGGATTGTTCGCATTCTAAAGTCTTACTGAAAAACAGTTAGTGATCACGAGAAAAAAATCGTATAACTAATTTGCTTGAACTATAAGGAAAGTATTCAATTTTTTCCTTATTCATAATAATAATATTTAACAATAGTTCCTGCTAATCTCGTCCGTATTGATTTGGATTATGAACATATCTCTATCCTTTACAAAAAAAACCCATAAACCTATTTACTCAAGATATAATATAGATATACAATTATTTTACAATAAAATGGTTTTTGTACTACCCTTCATATATGTATCATATTTTTTTCTCTTTATAAGCCACGTTTAAAACACGAAAAAGAAAGCTACAGTCAAATAAATACAAGCACATAAGTTTACATGAAAGAAGACGAAAATACACTCATCAAATTAACCGCGAAATAAAAGCTTAAATAAAATATAGGAATGACCACACATACAATCATACACACCCATCATCGTTTTTCTCTATAATCTGACATAGTTCTATAGACAGGATAAATAACATAAGCAATTGTCTATTATGCTCGTTTTACTGTATTTTCAGTTGCTTGAGCAATTGTTAATAATTTATCACCTCCAGATTTTAACACGGTAACTGTTGTTGTTGTCTTAGATGGAATACCAGTTGTTGGTGTTGATACTGTTGAACCCGTTGTTCCTTTATTTTTAGCATTTGATTTAGCTGGCTTTTGTCGGTTTGCAATTTCTTCTAAATCTGCACGCATTTCATCATCGAATGCGTTACTTGTTTGTTCTTCACGCCAATATGTATAAACTGAATAGGTTTCACTTGCAGAAAATGAATCCATTGGTGGAAATAAAAGATCAACTATTTCATGTAAATTTTTATATCTTTAAAATTATAAAAGAAAATATATTTAATAGTAAGAAAAAAATATGAATTAAACATACGAAGATAAAACTTGAGATATTTTTTGTCGGACAACTTCACCACGTGGATTTATTGTATAAATACGCGTCACCGGTATTCCAACAGCAGTATAAGCCCATTGATCCTGGAATAGATTTATATTTAAAACGTCTTGTTAAAAGAATATAAATAGTATTCAAGAAAAACTTACATTAATTCGATTACCAAAACCAGCATAGAATGGATTTGTACCAGGAAAAAGACTAGCAATATTTTTTAAACATTCGATTTTAAAATCTTCAGGTTTCTTTAAAATAACTTCTCTAAAATAATAAATATATATATAGAAAAAAATCAGTTAATTATAATTGAATAAACAAACCGATAGAATGCAGTCATTAATGTATCAGGTGAAATAAGTAACGGTCCAACAGGTAATTCTCTGTTAGACTGTTTAACTTTCTTTAAATAATTTCTTGTTATTTGACTTTGTCCAATGGCACGTGCTGATAAATATATAAATTGATAACCATTTTCTTGAATAGCATTGAAAAATTCTGCGATACCATCATGTGACCAATCTCCACCAAGTAATGGAATAATATGACCCAAAACATCGGATCTATAAATATATATAAGATTTGATTTTTTTGATAATTAAAAATAAATTTTTTTACTTAGTTACGGTTCCATCAATATCAGAAATAACAAATTTTGTCATATGATCAAAGAAGAATATATTTGATTCAACTGTTGTTGTACCTTGTAATGCTGTTGTAACACTAAATTCAACTTTATTTTGACCTAATTTAAGATTTAAACGTTTCAATTGATCAGATGAAAGTATCATAGTCTTTTTCAACACTGTTTGATGAGAAGAATGTGTTGATGGTGATCGTTGTTTTTGTTGAGCTTTTTCTTGTTCAATTTTAGCTGTTAATTTTCGTACTTCACTATCTTCTTGTTCACTATCATTATCCGTTTTACTAGAAATTAGAAGACAAACAAGAAGGTTTTATTAATAGAAAATAAATGAGTTAATTTACGAAGTTTTCTCTGATTTAGAATTATCATTTAAATTTGTATGATTTAAAATTGAAGGTGTTATTTCAGATTTTGCAGCTACAGCAATTACATCTGTTGTTGTTATTGGTGTTGTTACTTTCGATGTGTCATTTTTCATATCCGACTATATCACATAGCAAAAATTAATAAAATACAAAACGAAACATTTTCTTTTAGTTACTTACTTTTTTACCATAAAATGGTAACCACCAACCGCCTCCTTTTGTAGGTGGTTTTGTTTGTGCCATATGTTTATCTTGTAATTGTTCGATTGTTTCAACGGGTAATGGTTTATGAAATATACTTGTTGATGTTATAAGTGCTGAAGCAACATTCCAATTATAATATCTAAAGAATAAGATTAGAATTTCATTTTTATCGATGAAAATAAACTATGACGTACTTTCCGCCAATGCGTACAACTAGATTTGGATCATTAATAATAGCTGGATTACTAGCAAATGATTCGAAAGAAACAAGATGGGCATTGAATATTTCATCAGTAATTGAAGATTGTTTATTGATATTACCACAGAGTGATAATTGAGCATCACCAAGTAGACAACTAAATATAAAATAATCTTATGAATTATTACTATCTAAGTTTATGTATTGTTCTTATATAGGAATGAGAATTTAGATAACAATCCTACGAGAGTTTGTAATGCTGAACTTTCTAGCTTATTATGAAATCTCACATAAGAAAGTATAAAAATTTTAGGTAGACGCCACCTAACTGTGTTTTGTCTAAGTCTCGTATTTTTGGTGGGCGCTGCCCACAGTGGAGGGTCCGGAATTTTGAGAGAGAGGGGCGATACCTGAGTAGGGGGAGGGGCGATTCCGGCTAAAACTATTTTTGAGTCCAGTCAAAGTAGTGTGAACCTATTTTTTCCTTTACTTCTGTTGTAAAAAATCAAAAAAAAGTTCGGAAGGGGGAGATGGAGGCGATTGCCCCTCCCCCCCTCCCGTCTTAAATCTGTCACTGGTCACCCACTCAGCCCATTTATTAGACAAAACACTGCAATAAATTATTCTATCTCTAAAACTAAATATTAATTTTATTTTCTACATACGAAGCTTCGTTTTCTCGAAATGGTGATTGTGGTATTGAATTTCCTGTTCCAGATTCTTGATCATCATCATTCGTTGTTCGTTGGTGATTTTGATGATAATCCCTATATTAAATTTTTTTTTAAAAAAAGAATCAATAAAAATATAAACTTACAATTGAGGTAAATAACGTGATCGATCGGCGCATCGATTGCTTGTAATATCATCTAGATATATACCTTCTTTTGGTGAAGCTTTTTTCGATGATGGCCAAAAATATCTGAAAACACTACGTCGTTGTTCAGGTAATTCACCCCATTTCCATTGCCAACCAACACTTGGTGGTTGTTGAGAAGGTTTATCTAATTCATATTCAGTATCTGATTTTGGACTTGTTGGTCGTGGTGATATAGCACTATAAAAATAAAAGAATGCGTTTCTAAGTTTATAAAACAAATATTTTACGTTTCATATGATGATGTTGGTGAATAAGGTTCATGTGCATAAAAGTCATTTGTATGATCATCTGATTGACTAATACGAGTTGTATTTGGATTTATCATTCCACCTAATGGTGCTGATTGAGATAAATTGGAACTATTTAATATATCTAATTGTTCATTAAGTTTTGGTGATTCATATGTTTGTTCAATAACAAGTGGATTTGATGAATTTCTTGTTAAATTTCCATGATTTTCATCATTATTATCGAAATCATTTAAATTGAGAGTTTTTGGTCGACTATCAATACTATTAAAACGGCTACGTGCATCAGCAAATGGCATAAATTCTGAATCATGTTGATATATAAACATATCATTTTCACTTGCACTACGTTTACGTAAAAATTTAATTGGTGAATGAACTTTATTATTTGTATCAGTAGTTGTTGTTACAGGTGTTGAATCTCGTTTATGTGTTCGTGAACGACGTTTAAATGATGCAAAAGGTCTATCTGGTTCATCATCTTCACTTGCTTGTCGATGAAGTTGATCAAAACGATGTACTAATCGTCGTTTTGGACGACGTCGTGATGATATAATTGTATTTGAATGTATTACATCAATATTTATCGTTGGTTTTTCTTTTTCATAAGCATATTCTTCTCGTGGTTGATGATTTTCAATAGCTTTTTGTTCATCAAGTTGTTTATTAATTATTTGTGGTGAACAATCAATATTTGTTAAATGTTTATGAGTATTCATATCTGGATATAATGATAAAGAATTATCCGGATCAAGAAATGTATGTGAATCTGATGGATCCAAATGACGTATTGGTCCAATAACAGGTGTATTCTAAATATCAATATGAATTATTTAACATATTTATTTCTATTAACATACAATATTTTCTTCAATAAAGACAGCTTCACCGGCTTCACCCAGTTGCATATATAAATCTTCAATGGGAATATCATTTATTGTAATATATACCTAAATATAGAGTATCAAATAATTGAAAAAGTCTGCATGAATAAATTATAATTCTCCTATAATATATTTTTAAATTATTTAATAGATTAAATATAAATCTTGATTTTTTAATTAGAATAGGTTAGTTTATAAAAGATTTATTAAGTATGTTAATTCAACATAGCTACTAATTCAGATAATGTTGTATTTACTTTATTTTGTAAACTTTGTAAAACACCTAATTTCCCAAAACGAACATGAAACGGTGTGCAACGAAGTGTTCCATCTTCTTGTTTAACAACAATAATATCAATAGCACCTATAAAAATAAAATTGTTTTCATTTAATTAAAAAAATGTTCAAAATATATCTACCATTAAGTGTAGATGGATTGATCTTTTTATAAGCAGTTGAAAATGCCGAAAAGATTGCATTCATTTTTATTTATTAATAATGATTTTATAATATTTAAAAATTGAACTAAAAAAGAAAAAGACTACGATATGTATCATGTGATAATTATGCAATACAATGACTCATAAGTGACACGTATTGTTAAATGTTTTACTTGTGAAAGAAAAGGTAAATGTATGTAAAATAGATGTACAAAAAATCCTTTTGCGAGATTAACAAAACGTCAATGTCACCGACGATAAGAAGAAAAAAAAGAATGTTTGATATACCTTCCTATTCACTCAGATATTTTTATTTAATGACGATGAAGGCTACTCATGAAATGTACCTTGTCATATAAAAGAAACGGAGAAAGAATGATTGCAAGGTCTAATTGGCATATGAAAAGTAAATGCATAAAAAGGAAAAAAAAAGAAAGAATAGTTCGAGTATCGAAGAAAAACATAAATACAATGTTTGAAGCCATATGTTCCTCTTTCAGTACTCGATCATATAAATGATGTCTATGAAAAATAAACAATCATACCCAAAAGTTATTGATCTGCATAAAGAGCAACGGGTCACTGTTAATCAATAAAAAGAAAATAAATCTAAAAAAAACAATAATTATATGATTTGTTATATATTTCAACATAACAATAAAAGTATATATATATATATATTGCGATCACATGATACGTCAATTATTTGCATAGAGAGATAAGAAGTAACAATGTGTCTATAGTTTCATTATCAAAAATAAGAAAGATAATCGAACAATCTATTTCTATCGGAAAAGATATTTTCAAAAAAATATTTATCTAGAACAGCAGTTTTTTTTGCTCGTATTCATTTGTTATTATATGCAATATAGCATAAAATATAAAAATCAGATTTTAATCATCTGAAAACGATGAATTCTGTCTTATTTCAGATGCTAATGAAAGATTTGAAATATATTTTCTTTCCTTCCACTTAAAATTATTCATACTTCCTAGAATTAAGTCATGGTTTATTAAAAAATAATGGACTTCATTTATTCTGACTAATTTATAAACATAATTTTCGATGATTAGTATAGAGAATATTTCTTCGGGAAATTAAAGAATTGTTTAGACACATAGCATTTATTTTATGAAGAAAAACAGATGGAGAATTTACAAGATTGACTAACGGAAAAGAGAGGTAGAAGCTTTTAATACTTATGCATACAGATTTAATCTAACATCAAAAATACTAACTATAGTAATATCTGACGACTTATATATACTCACTGACCTATTAGTAATATTTGTCGCAAACAAGGATAAAAGCGTAAAGTGTATGTGTAGTCAAGGGTTGTTTTAATAAATAAAAAGACGGATGTGAGAGTGCGCGTTGTCGATAAAAGAAAGAAAGTGTGGAATATATCAAGTGACATAAATGTTTGATTTTTATTATTCATAATGGACAAAAAAACCCAGTATGAAAAGAATGATTAGTCATTAGTAAACTTGTTTACCTTAAACCTAAGATATTATATCAAACAATAAAAAAGAATAGTTTTTTCCAACCAAATAGATTGGATATCGTTTTTTTTTCGTCTAATAGAAAAAAAACTAACTATGTACAAATTTGAATCACAGATTAGTCCAATATTGGCATTTGTGAAATATAAGTAAATTCTTGTTTTGATTCATCTTGTTTATCGAATGTTTGATTTAAAGTTGAATTAATAATAATATTATCTAATAATTGACTATTTAACATCACAATTTCTGTTCGTCGAACATTTCCAATAAAATCAGTTAAAAGTGTTTTATGATAATCACGTTTGGTAAATAAATCAGTTCGCCATGTTACTTCCGATATACATAAATGTTTTGGACAACAATGAAAAAAATCATTAATTGTTTTTTGTGAATCTTGTTTTAATTTTTCAAGAAATTCAAGTGCATAATATGTAAAACGATCAATAACATATACACCAATTTTCGGATCAACATGATGTGATAAAGAATCTTCACCACGTTTTGATGATCCAACAGCTAAGATATTTGGTGAATAAAACTTTTCAAATAATGTTGCCGCTTGACATGTATCAACAACGAAAAATAATTCATGATAACGTTTTTTACGCCACATTTGTTCAATAACATCAGCTAATTCAACAGCAGATATTTCTTCATTATCTTGAAATTTAAGAAAACCATCACCACCATGACCGGTCATATAGATAAATATATTTGAACTTTCATCAGAGAGGAGACGTTTTGATACCGGTGTTACTTCTGGTAAACGATTAGTTAATACACGTACAAAATTTTCAACAGTTACATCATAACCACGATAATCAACTTCAACATCATCACCATAAACATTTATTTGTTCAGCAACATTATTAAAGATTTCAGCTGGACGTGGATTACGAGGATTACATGCCATATCATCAGCTAACATTAGGATTATATTTGAATCAGGTATACCTAAAATAAAAGAATAGAAAAATCATTCATCAATTATATTGTCTGAAGAAATAATAAATGACTAAGTTCATCAGGAATGCAAAATGAAAAGAATATAATTAATCAAATATCTACATTTAGGATATATAAGACATTGTCATTGTTAGATAAAATACATAAATCATAATGTCAGGATATATTGATTAATCTATTCACCAAACTTGAATCTTTATGAATGCAAGAAAGCATTCAGATCAAGATTAAGTATCACGCTTGTAGAAAAACAATTATTAATCGTTATCAAAGTCTATCATAAGTAAACTAGACTTCTGACAGTGTAACAGATGTTTTGTATCTATCAGAAAGAAAAACAAATGTGCATCAATATCTTCTCGGTAAGTTATAATTCTAATGAATTCCTTATGCAAATAATCTTCAACACTTATTAATTATTTTTACTGAAAGTTTATTACAAACTATAATGAATATTGTTTGAACATGTCGGTTTCGATTAAAATCAATTCAGTTCTATTTCACTATTTAGTTCTAGAGGAATTAGTAAAAATGGAGAAATATATATATATATCAGTATAAAAGATATGCTTAGAAAGAAGAAGAAAAAAGATTCCGAAAAATCTTTGAGGAGTTGAATTTCATCGCTCTCATAATTAGGAACAGAAGACCGAGAGGAAATAGAACTTAACCAATTAACAACTATTTCAACGACTGATTGATTAGGTACAAATCTCTTACATCTTCTTAAACATTTTACTGAAAAATGACCTTCGATCCAACATTGTCTATGTACGTTTAGGTCGGCTTTTTCGATCAACAATATTCCATCAGTCGAATTAGCACTTATGCTTAGTTTTAATTACATTTACTATAATATTAAAATTCTTACCGAGTCTTTTAACACTTCGATAAATAGAAAGTACATTAGCAACATGTCGATAATTAAACCAAAATCGAGATGTATCAACAAGAATTGCCCAATTATTAGTATGACGTGTTGTTGATTCAGCAAATTTTTCAAATGGATCAAGAGCAGAAGTAAAACAAAATAATAGCACCGTTAAAAAATATCGAAGAAACATCTAAATAAAAATAAATCAATAATTTTCTTTTCTATAAACAGTTTAATAAGAAAAATAATCGTTCATATATAGTAAATTCTTATTGATATTCGAGAAAAACAAATCAATACATTTCTCTTTATTTTTACTAAATAAAATATTTGTTTATTTATTTGTTTCTACTTAGAAAACATTATATAGTCTATCACAAAAAATTATGATCGAACGACAGACATGAACATCATCATTATATATGTAACCAATCATAAAACTTTGATAGACCTTCATATATTTACAGTGATAGAAGTCAATGTTATCGACCAATGAAATGATCCGAAAGATGACAGACGTTGGCCTGATAACTGCACTATAGTCATTGTACTCTTTCACTTATAGAAAATAAAAAATATGAAAGAAAAAGTATAGTAACATAACATAACAAAAGAAAATGATTATATGCTAATAATAACATGCAACGAATGATAAAGAAAACGCCTGCTTCTATAAATTGTATTCTTGTTGGGTTGGATAAAAATAAGACATGACCTTTTCAATTGAATGTCTGAATAATATTGATTGTGATTTCGACATTTTACATCGACAATGCTTATGAATCAATTTATATCTTGTTATTTACTTAAGTGCCTTCGTTTTTTCTTCAATGGCTCAATAGTTTTGATTTAGAAAATATATAAAAATAATTCTATGCTAAATAATAATAATAATAAGACGAAAAAGTTGTGATTGAGGTTTTTTAAGAGAACTTGTAATTATGTCTTCTTTCTATTCATTTTATTAAGAAATGATTTTTCATGGCTTTCTTTTTTTTTGTGTTTTATCAATAACGAGTTTTTCATTCTCTGGAGAATTATTCTTTCTACTCAAAGCTCATGAGAACATATTCTTATTTTTTTCAATTGAATAATTTCATAAATATTACAAGATTAACAAGAAGAGAACTGAAAATTGAATAGATAAATTTCTATTCAGGTAAGTTCAATGGACTTCAACTAACATTGAAAATTTCATATTGAATAAGAATTTTCTTTAATCGATTAAATTTCACACTTTTGTCTTTTGCATTTAAAGGGACATATATAACAATGTCCATTATAGTTATATCGAAAGGCGAGCACGTGAACGATAATCGATTAGATCTGTTACAGTTGAATAAGTTTCTTCTTTCCCGTTTTACGTAAAAACAAAAAAATTATTGATCACATTTTGATTTTAACACATCGAGACATATTCTATTCGATACAAAACAAACAGAATTTATGTATGTATTTCTTTTTTTTCAATAAATTTTAAATGAATCTCAGAATCGAAGAGAAATGACGTCCATATACTAATATTATTACACCGTATGTATTTGTCAATGAGCATACTGGTTGGATCTGAAATATATGTTTGTATTTTGTCCAAGTTCTTCTTTTTCATGGCCATATTGCGGTTTATGTCAAATGTTAACTTTAAAAATATTCTTATTCGATCATTTCATGTAGTTTACTTTGCCTGAAGAAGACGAAGAAACTAATTAAATTATAAATAAAACACTTGAAATTCGTGTATGTAGTTAATACTACAAAAATAGTCATACTCAAATCAACATATTTTCTTTTTTTTTAAATAAATCATAACATCTATGACCTTTGTGCGTGTAAGTATATTTATAATTGTGCAGTTTTTAGTATTATTTTTTTGAAAGAAGAAATACATATATATTTAATGTTCTCTTTTCGATATGCATAGTCACATTTAAAAAGTGACGTCAAGAACAGTTGACACATTACATAGTCTGATAGAAGTTATAACAAGAGATGATACATATAATTATTGCGTCATCGATTTTGATATACTAAGCTTCTATTATTATAGTCATACAAAAATATCTTTGTAGAAATATTCAGTATATCTTATCATATTTTAATTTTAAGATGCCACATTCACTCAGTCCATATTTATATGCAAATGTATGGTCAAAACTTTTCCATAGGTCAGAATGTTCATTTTAATCTATTTAAAACTTACTGATTTTGTTCTAGTTGGATATCACATTTACTTCGAATAAGTCGCAATCAAAAGTCACTTGATCCTATTGATCTTTATGAACTTCTTCCACAATATGAATCAACAAATCTTACTGAAAAATTAGAAAATAATTGGTTCAATGATATCAGACGTCATCCAAATAAGTCAAGTCTGATTCGTGCGACAATTCGTACAATAGGATGGAAAATAATTTTAATAGGATTATTACTTATTCCATGGGTATGTAGATATATGATTTTTATAATTCAAATTTCATTTATATAATTCAGATGCTTCTATGTATTGCTCAACCGTTATTGCTCATATTTCTTATGGATTTTTTTGAGCCATGTTCAACAATGCCCAATATAGATGCATGGCTTTTGACTATAGCTTATATTATTACACCTATATTTTCTGGCTTTTTCTTTCATCAAGTAAGTAATGAATTAGAATTAAAAGAAGATTTATGATTTTATTCTTTAAGTATATGCATTATGCTCAAATACTTGGTTTACAAATGCGCGTTGCTTATCATGGTTTAATTTATCGTAAGGTAAACATAAATATTGAAATAGATAGATTTAATTAATATCTATATAGGTTCTGCGTTTATCAGGTCATTCATTGAATAGTTTTAGTTCGGATTATATTACAAACTTATTTTTAAACAATGCTAATCATATTGAGACGACTTTACAATTTTTAAATTTCCTATGGGTATGTACTTATAAATAATATTAAATGTATATCTGATTATGATTTATTAAGCTTGCACCTGTTGATATTTTGATTGTTGCTTTATTTTTTTGGTATTTTGTCAAATATATTGCATTCATTGCCTTATCTTATACATTAATATTCTTATTACTTTGTTTAATTTACGGTTATCTTTACGCATTCTTACAGTAATTATATACATATATATTTATGTTAATTAAATTTATATGAATTTTAGAACAAAGATGTTACGAATAACAGATGAACGTATTAAAATTATAACTGAATTATTTAAATCAATGCGATTTGTAAAAATGTTTTGTTGGGAATCAGTATTTGAAAATAAAATTTATCGTATACGAAAGTAAATTAGTGTAAATAAATTATTTTATTAAAAATATTGCTTATATATATTATACTTAGTCAAGAAATGATTCAACTTGCTCTTCGTTCATTCATTGATTGTATACATTCTTTCTTATCAAATACATACGTTGGTTTAACTTTCTTATTAATATATGGGACAATGTGGAATTTTAATATTTATTTTGATACACGTTTCTATGCTATTGCATTTATGTTACTCAGTCATTTAGAATATTCTATTATGGTCTTCTTTACAGAAGGCATTCGAAGTTTTGCTAAATTCATGGCTGCTCAAAAACGGATTCAAGTTAGTTTCATATATTTTATGATCTATTATTTTGAGATCACTCAAGTTTTCTTAACAGGCATTCCTTTTGTTTGATGAATCTGAACGAGATCGTCGACTGTTATCAATTTCCAGTATGGAAACTCAATCTAATGGACATCGAACAACTTACGAAATGAATAATGAAGAGAAATATCTGGCAACAACACCAGCGAAGGGTTTTTCTGAAGTGGAATGTAATGTAAAGCATGCACAATGGGAACAAGTAAATACATCTTTCATTTCATATTATCTATCACACGTTCTCATACTTATATAGAATGCAGTATTTTCTCTCAAAAATATCATATTTCATGCTCATCCAGGTGACTTAATTTGTATTATCGGACCAGTTGGATCTGGCAAAGTACTTTAATTTATTATCATTCAAATTATATTCTATTCTCTTCTATCTAATATATTATATTTAGAGTTCACTTTTACAAACTCTAACTGGTGAAATCGCTTTTTTCGATGGAAAAGTTCGGCTTCGTGGATCATTTTGTTATGTACCACAAGAACCTTGTAAAGTCTTATTCATCTCAAAATCAACTCACCTTTATTGTTTTTTCTTCTTTTATCATAGGGATCTTTTCATCAACTGTGAAAAAGAATATCATCTTTGGTAAAAACTATGATGGTCATTTATTTCGACAAGTGATTCGTGCAGCTGCACTTGAAGCAGTATGTCTATAGATTGTCAATTATTGATTGATTGTTTTTTTCTGTCGATCTATTAGGATTTGGCTTTATTACCAAATGGAGTAAATACAATGGTTGGTGATCAAGGTGTGATGTTATCTGGAGTAAATGATCATTTTATAGAAATAAAATATTATTAAATATTGTGTATTAGGGTCAAAAAGCACGAGTGAATATGGCAAGAGCATTGTATCGTGATGCTGATATTTATTTATTAGATGATCCACTTTCAGCTGTTGATGCTAAAGTGTCAAAACAACTGTTCGAAAGGTATGTTCAGAATTATGAAACATGATATATAATAATGATATAATAATGGTTTTGTAGATCAATAAAAACCTATCTTGGTGATAAGATTTGTATTCTTGTTACTCATCAAATTCAATTTCTAGAAAATGCAACAAAGATTGTTGTACTTGAAAATGTATGTGAATAAATGAGATAGTATGTAGATGATATGAATGTATGTAATAGGGTGGTATGATTGAAATGGGAACATATGCCGAGTTACTTTCAACATCGAACAAATTTCGTTGTCTACTTGAAAATATTAATCAACAAGAAGAACAAGAGCACGTTGAACTTACTACTGATAATCAAGAAAGAAAACTGACTAGATGCGTGACTTTCTCAGAATATGATCACGAAAACGAATTGTTGATATATCCATCAAATTGTGAAATAAAAGAAGAAGGTTCAGTAAAGTGGTATACATATATTGAATACTTACGGGCTGGTGTTGGTTCAGTTTTTGGGATATTACTTTTAATACTGGTATTTGGCTTTCGAGAAATAGCATCGGTTTTTTACAGTTGGTGGTTAGCAAAATGGAGTGAAGATGAAGGTCATCGACATCAAAATTTAACGAACTGTTCAAATATGATGAACGAAAAAACTTATATGATACGTTCAATGAATGACGAAGAATGGAAACAATTTGGTGATAATCGTTTCTATGTCAATTGTGGTGCGTACATGCCTGAAAGATATTATTGTTTTATATCTTAAGTACATTTTTCTTTGTATAGGAATTGGATTGATTGTGTTTGTCCTCACTTTCCTTCGTGTTATTGCCATGAAACTAATATGTTTAAATAGTGGACGTATTCTTCATAACAGGTTCTTTGAATTAGTTTCAATTTTTTATTTATATTGTTTCTTCCATTAGAATGTTTCGAAGACTCCTTCGAAGTCCAATTTCTTTTTTTGATTTAAATCCAGTTGGTAAGATAAAATATTACAAATAGAATATCTTTACTACATTCGTATAGGTCGTATTTTGAATCGTTTCACCAAAGATATAGCGGCTATAGATGAACATTTGCCGCTTACTTTTTTCGAATTTCTTGAAGTAAATCTTTAAATATATCTGTTCAATTATATTTCTATCCATATTTATTTAGTGTATGTTTCAAGTAGTCGGTACGCTTGCTCTAGTCAGCTGGCTCAATCGATGGGCTTTGATACCATCCGTCATCGGAATCATTTTTATGTGCTATATTCGACATCGTTTTGCTCGATGTTCAAGAGATCTCAAACGACTTGACGGCATATCACGAAGTCCAATTTACTCATATTTAACATCAACTATTCAAGGACTCAAAGTCATTCGATCTTATCATGCTGAAAACACTTGTTTATCAGAGTTTTTCACTCATCTCGATGATAATACTCGTGCCAATTATTTGTCGTTGACCACAGTTCGATGGGCGGCTATCCGTTTTGATTGGACAGTATTATTCTTCATTGCTGTTGTGACTGCACTCGCTTTAATTGTGCGTATCATAGGTCAACAATTCTCAGCTGCAGATATTGCTTTAACACTTTCATACAGTCTCTATCTGATGGGTCTTCTACAATGGACAATTAGGTTTGTGACATCTGGCACTTTTTCTAATTACATCTAATTCATTTTAGACAATCAGTTGAAGTTGAAACACAAATGACAGCTGTTGAACGAATCTTAGAATATTGTGCACTTGATCAAGAACCACCTGCGAAACTTCCATCAAATCAAACACCACCTCACAGTTGGCCATCACATGGACACATTAGTTTCAATAATGTTTCCATGTCTCATTCAAAACATCCAAATGCACAACTTGCACTCGATCATATTTCATTAACAATTCAACCCACTGAAAAAATAGGTATTGTTGGAAGAACAGGTGCTGGCAAAAGTTCATTCATACAAACACTTTTTCGAATGGGTACACTTGTTGATGGAAATATTGTGATCGATAATATTGATATTGGAACTGTTGGATTAGATGATATTCGACGTCGAATATCGATTATTCCACAAGATCCAGTTCTTTTTACTGGAACAATGAGAGATAATCTTGATCGATTTGGTGATTATTCCGAT